CAATAATTTTAAATTTTCTCTCCTGGATCTATTTTCAAGGTCAGTTGTTTTTCCAATGAGATATTTCACGTTATTTTCTATTTTTTCATTCTTTTGAAATTGTTTTATAGTGTCTTGATTTCTTATAAAGTCCTTAGCTTTCAATTGCTCCATTCTAATTTTTAAAGAAGTATTTTCTTCAGTAAGCTTTTGGACTTCCTTTTCCATTTGTCCAATTTTGCTTTTTAAGGCATTCTTCTCCTCATGGGCTTTTTGGACCTCTTTTGCCATTTGGGTTAGGCTATTTTTTAAGGTGTTATTTTCCTCAGTATTTTTTTTTTGAGTCTCCTTCAGCAAACCATTTACTTGTTTTTCATGATTTTCTTGCATCACTCTCAGTTTTTCCTCCACTTCTCTTACTTGCTTCTCAAAATCCTTTTTGATCTCTTCCATGGCCTGGGACCAATTTATATTTTTCTTGGAGGCTTTGGATGTAGGAGCTTTGGCTTTGTTGTCTTCTTCTGGTTATATATTTTGATCTTCTTTGTCGCCAAAGTAAGATTTTATGGTCTGAGTTTTTTTTATTGTTGTTGTTGTTGTTTGCTCATGTTCCTAGCCAATTACTTGACTATTAAACTCTCTGTTAAGGTAGGGGTCTGCTTCCAGTTTGGAGAATATACTGTTCCAAGCTTCAGGGGCTGGGACTGACCTTCTCTCTCATCACTGTCACAGACTTTTCCTACTGAACTTCTAAGTTGTTTTTGGTGTTTGTGGGTTGAGAAGTCTGGAAACCACCACAGCTGCCTGTGATTCAGTCCTCTGAGGCCTGCTCCAGGTTCGCTGAGGCCTCTTTTGACTATGCACCCACACCAAACTGTGCTCCTCTCCCAGCCTGGCACAATATACTTTTCCAATCAACCATCCAGGTTGTCTTGAGCCAGAAATTTGTTTCACTCTGTCTTTTTGTGGGTTCCGCTGATTTAGAATTAGTTTAGAGTCATTTTTTACAGGTATTTTGAGGGGTTTGGGGGAAAGCTCAAGAAAGTCACTGCTTTTACTCTGCCATCTTGGCTCCACCCCAGAATTAAGTTTTTAAATGCAAGAAATAAAATACATAAAATTACAAAGAAAATATAATTGAAATACAGATCTAAAAAATTAAAATAAAGAACCTTAAAACACAGACCTCAGATTAAAAACCTCTGCATCTAGATTTATTTTCATACCATTTGTACTTGTACTCAGACTGACCTCCAGTTATATCCTGCTCCTGTTATATGGTCAACCTACATCCTTTCCCAATTTTCTGACTTCATTCATAGGAAGACTGTCAATCTTACTATAGTGCAATTTCTCCAGGGGAATGTTAATATATTGGTCATTGGATGTGTATTTCATATTTCTAACACTAAATCATCTAAAAACTCTTAGCACTCTCTGCTCCTGTTCTGCTGCTCTGCCATAGTCACTACAGCAGACAAAGGGGATGGTGTCAGATTGAAGACCTTTCATCTTGTTCTATTTCATGGGTTGCTATGGCCAAAGAATTTTGTCACTTGGTAGGCGAATTCCCAGTCATGAGCCTCTCTGTACTTAGTAAAAAAGTCAAGTCAACAAACACTTATGAAGCACCTACTACATGCCACACACTATGTGAGATACTGAAGATACAAAGAAAGGCATGAACAGTCCCTGACCTCAAGGAGTTCACAATTTAATGGGGGAAACAACATTTAAAAAAACCCTTTGTTTAAACAAGATATATAGGAGGCTATATTGCAAGATACAATCACAATAAATTTTGAGGGAAGGCAGTAATTAGCATTAAGAGCAATTAAGAAAGGTTCTTATAAAAGGTGAGATTTTAGCTGATATTTAAGGAAAATCAAGAAGCAAAGACATGGAAGGAGAGAATTCCAGGCATGGGGGAGAGCAAATGAAAATGATGGGAGATGGAGAATCATGTTGAATAGCTATCAAGGTTATTCCTCAGAGAACAATGACCCAGACTCAGGACCAAGGAGTCATTTGATTCATCCTTCCACCTCACATCCCACATCCAGGGGTCCACAAATTCTTCAGTGTCTATTTCAGTAATGCATTTACTGATAGTGTTGCCAATTTAATTCAATCCCACAAGCATTTTTCAAAACACCTATTATATCTAAAGGACAAGAGATATGAAATAAAATAAAACAAAAGTAAAAATAAAAAATAGCCTGACTTCAATGGACTTACATTGTACTGGTGTGATGCAACATGAACACATAAAAACATACGAAGTAAATCCAAACACTTTCTGGGGGAAAGTGCCAAAATTAGGGGAAGGGATGAGGGAATCTAGAAAAAACTTCATGTAGGATGCAACACTTGAGTTGTTCCTTAAAGGAAGCTAGGGGATCTAAGAAGTGGAAGAACATTCTAGGTAGCACATTCAAGGCATGCTCAAAGGCCATCTTGTACAAAGGAACAGAAGTGGCAGATAGGACATCTGTACAAAAATCAACAAGAAGGTCATTTAACCCAAAGCGCAGGTTCTGCAAGGGGCAGTAATATTGGCACTGTTGGCTTTGACTGTCTTGGGAGTAGCATACCACCCATGCTATTAAGGGTTAGCACTAACCATTGCACAAAGAGGTATGCATGTGGTAGATGGGCACAGTAGTCTAGAAGACACATGTAAGTGAACAGATGGGTTTAATCTCTTGATGGTTTTCCTCAGTTTCTTTCTGGCTCCCTTCTCCAAATGACATGATGCAGTTTGGTAGAACTGAGACCAGAAGAAAGCTGTGAATTACCTTTGAAGTGGAACTATAGAACCTAAATGACAACACCCTTGAAGCTGGAAGTAATAAGCTTCTCTTCTCTCAGTGTTATTTTTTTTTAATTACCCAGCCCAATGTCAGGAATTCATCTTGTTTCTAGTTTTGCCATGTCTCCAAATAACTTTCCAGCAGCTGGATGGGAAGAACTGGAGTTTCTTCCTCAGATATCCAAAGGAGATACAAGGAGATACATCATAATATATTTATAACTATTACCCATGTATCACTACTTTCTACCTGTATGACCTTGGGCAAATCTCTTGACCTCACTGTGTCTCAGTTTTCTCATCTGTAAAATGAAGGAGTTGTACTAAAAGGGTCTCTAAGATCCCTCTATTCTAAATACATGATCCTGTGATCCCAGTTGGTTGATTGTTGTCCTTCAATCTGGAAGAGGACCAAAATGACATTACTATGCAAGAGTCAAATAACCATGCATCCGAGTGTGGCTGATCAGATCAATAGGAGCTCGGAATGCTCCACCACAGATCAAGCACAAATAGTCCATGTGAACATTTGGGGTGGATTCTCTAAATTTGCACATCTCGGGTTTCTTTTGAGCTACTTCAATTCTTCTCTGCTCATACAGCACAGGACCTTCTCTGGTGAGGGCACACCATGCTGAGTGGTCCTGTGCCAGTGTCTCCTATGTCACACGGTCAATTCCAGAGTTCTTAAGAAAAACCCTGAAATCTCTGTATTGTTTCTTCTGTCATGTGAGCAAGTATTTGAAATATGAATACATTTGTTTATCATACTGTGTCATATTGTAAATTTTTGTTGAAGCTAGGTAAAGAACAAAGTGGCAACATATTCACATGCAAATGGATATTGGGATCATTTGTGGTAACTCTCTTTCACTCAGGGTTGGGACTGCTCAGCACAGTAGGACAAGTATTCTTAAAAGCAGTGTCCTGTCCATCACCTCTGAATTCTTCTGCTCCTATTAGGGGTACCCCACTACTTGTCCCTATGTGCTCTTTTACCTTTGAGCTCAGTCCTCTCTCGACACTTTGGACCTGGACATATGGCCATAAGGAAACCCCAATTCAGAAGATGCTGGCTCAGAATCAAATTTTTCCTGACCATTTGATTGTCCCTCAGGACTCTGCCTTTGGTATGGAATTGTTACACAGTCCTTCTAAGCCTGGATTCTTCTTTGTTGCTGCCCAATCTTTCTGAGCTTGGAGTATCATCTTTCTCGCCTAAACTCCAGCTCCTCATCTTAAGTTTCTGTAATCTCTACTGAACAATCTAGATAGGCTCTCACTTAGCTTCCTGGGTCCTTGACTATCCACCTGCTTATTCCAACCTGTGTGTAACTTCCAGACCCCTAAGATTCAGTCTAAAAAATTGAAACAGTTATCTGATCTTCCTCAATCTCACTACTTCCTTTCTCCTCCCACCCTTCCCCACCCTGATGCTAGATTGGCTGCTACCCATTGGCCCTAACATGACACATTCCTGGCCTGTCGATGTGGCCTTCTCTGGCACTCTCAGATCCCTAGAGGGAAAAGCAGAGCATCTTGGACCCACATGTGCTCATATGAATGTGAAGAAGGAAGCCAAATTTAACACAATTCAAATCTCTTTTTGTAATACTGAAATGATAAAATGACAAGTGTTTAAAATATGTACACTGATTACCTCTTATTGATGCTCAGAGATGTTGAGCTCTGTCTTGTGTCTCCTACACTATTCAGCATTTTAAAAGTCACTGGAGGTTAAGCCCTACCAACCCATCTTGTTGATTAGTCATGGCTCAGAGAGCATTCTTATCCTCCAATTAGATCACTAATTCCTCTCTCATTATAACAACAGATTTAATTTTGTTGTACAATAATAATAATAACCCATTAACATAACTTATTTTATCTATTAACAATCTATTAGCACTACTTATTTCATCCAAATGCCCCAACATTTCTGAGTACCGTTTCCTACCCTGCCACCATACCACCCCTCCCCAACCTATACTGACATCAGAATCCTTTCAAAGTAGCAAAGGTATTACAGACATGCTGAAGTGTGGAATAAACTGAGAGCCTATATTGGCATGTGTGTGAGCAAAGAGCAGTATCACACCGGGGAAAACAAGATATATGACCTGGGTCAAAGCAATGTTAAGCCTAGTCTTTCTAGGCAAGGTAATAACATTTTCATTTTCTTTTTAAAAACACCATGAATGATTCCTACCTTCTCAAGTCCTCCTTTATGTGAAGGGAGATCAGTTCCTTAGGAATATGAAAAGACAGTGCGGTCTCATACATCTGCTCTCTAATCCTCATCCATTTGTTATCCGATGTGGGGAATCTGTATAACTTATACACTGGATTTTTTAATACTGTAAAGGAGGAAGACAAAAGGATAGAGTTGCTTACTTAAACCACTTTTTCCAGCATTGTCAAATGATTCAACATTAGAAGAAGACATGCTTTTGCCAACGAAAATTACAATTATCATGGCCCATTAACATCTACTTTGCCAGTTCACCCCAGACTATGGGGCCTTTCCACATGGCTTGCAGCTGAAGCCTCCCACTGTGCTGTCTCCCCCATTAAAATAGGAGCTCCTTGAGAGTAGAGGCCATATTGTTTTTCTACTGGTATCCCCAGTACTTAACATAATGCTTGGAATATAGTACGTTTTTAATAAATGGTTTTTCATTCATTTATTCATTTCGTTCCTTTAAATTAAAATCCATGTCTTTCATTGTCATTTGCTTTTTAATTGGGTGCAACACATCTGAATGTCAACAACCAAGTTTTCATTTCATATAACTTTCATGTCTCAATGGTGACTGACGCTCAGTCATCATTTCAACACAGAGACTTGACTGGCCTCTGCCACACTCTGCCTGGGTGTCCACTTATAAGTCACAAATTAATTAACTGTGTATTGGCATTGGTAACCATTCATGATCCTCTAGCCCCCACCTTCTGCCCCACTCCAACCACTTTATGCAGCTATATCCATACCATTATGTTTCTGGATCCATCAACTCACAGTTTTTCAAATAAGCTAACTAAAAATAGAGGACAGCTGTTGCACCTGCTAGACCTTTCAAACAATAGTGGAAAACATGGTGATACCTCCTGATCCTAATGTACCCATCAAAAACCCCTGTCAAAACCACAGTGTTCTAAGAGACTACTGAAACTATATCTTCTGATTCTCAATCTATTATGCTAAGGCAATGTATTTTAAATTTCATGCTATTTTTGTTTATGCTCCTTTTTTTCTTTTTCTTTTTCTTTTTTTTTTCCAAGGCATTTGGGCTTAAGTGATTTGCCCAGAGTCACACAGCTAGTAAATGTTATGTGTCTCAGGCCGAATTTGAACTCAGGTCATCCTGACTCTAGGGCTGGTGCTCTATCCATTGTGCCACCTAGCTGCCCCTATTTATGCTCTTTTCAAGCTTTTTACAGTTTCCATTAATGTGATGTTAATCATTGATCACGTCCATCATATCATCTCAAGAGTTTCTTGGAAGCAAGATGTGTGCCATCAGACAAATTCCTGTCTTTCGTGTTAATGCAAGACACCTTCAGATTAACAACTTAGAATTCCCTCAATTGTACTTTTCAACTTCTAGGCATGGTTTTGCTGGCTTGGGGAACTATGTTGCCTTTGAACCAAAGAGATGGTCAATATATTGTTTCCACACAATCCAAGAAATATTTATTAAGCATCAATGTTATATTCAATTCAATGTCCTAGAAGCTAGGGATATAGTAAAACAACAAAAAAAGAGAAGTTTCTACATATTAAGAGCTTGCATTCTACTAAGGGAATAAATCATGTAAACAGATACATGCAAACATGAAAATTTGAGGAGGAAGGAAATAAAGTAAAAGGATCAAACAAGGCTTTGCATTAGAGGTGGAAGGAAGCTATGGATTCTAAAATGAGAAGATAAAAAGGGAGAACTTCCAAACCATGTAAGAAAGCCTATGCAGAGTCATACAGGGTAAAGAGGATGATGAGCTTAGAGAAAAGTAAGTCAGATTGGCTAGAATATAGAATGAATGAGAATAAAGGGGTAGGCTGGAGTCAGATTTTCAAGGATTCTAAATGCCAAGCTGAGAAGTCAGTATTTTATTTTGAGGGAATAGGGAGTCACTGGAGATTCTTGGGCATGAGAAAAACAGGTTTATTTTCAGAGGATTTTTAAAAATTATTTTTTTTAAATTAACAAGCATTTATTTTCTGTCCTCCAATCTTCCACTGGAAAGAGAAAAGAAAAAGACAAACAAAGCCCAAATAGAAAATATGAATAGTCAAGCAAAACATCTTCCCATATTGGCCATGGGCATATTCAGTCTCTCACCTCTCTGTTCAGAGGTGGGTAACATTCTTCAACATGGTGATCATTTTACTAATCAGAGTTCTTAAGTCATTTAGAGTTGTTCATTTATACAACGTTGTTGTTAACAGTAGTGTTGTTCTGGTTCTGCTCACTTTAATCTGCATCAATTCATATGAATCTGCTTTTATGAACTGTCCCTTTGCCATTTCTTACAGTCCAATAGCATTCCATTACATTCGTATAATTTTTTCAGCCACTCCCCACCTGATGGGCATCTCTTTAGTTTCCAGTTCTTTGCCACCACAAAAAGAGCCGCCATAAATATTTTTTGTGCATGTAGGATCTTTTCTCTTTCTTTGATTTCTTTCGGTACTAGTTATAATAGTGACTATATAATATATATGTACATATAATAAAAATAAAAAGTAAAATAAATATGTACTATATAATAACTATATAATACCTTAATAACAGGGTTAAAGACTATGCTCAGTTTATTTAGAAATTGCTTTGTAGAATGGGTCTACTAATTCAAAACTCCACCAAAACCACATTTTTATGGACTGTCTCTCATGTATTGAATGTTCTCTTTCCTTATCTATTGCTTCCCTGGCTTCCTTCAAGTCCCAGCTAAAATCCCACCTTCTACAGGAAGCCTTTTCTAATCCTTCTTAAGTCTACTACCTTCCTTCTGTTATTTTTTCTTAATCCTGCATATAGTTTGTTTGTATACAGTTCTTTTATGTGATCTTCCCTTTACATTGTGAGTTCCTTGATCTCACTATCTTTTGCTGTCTTTCATTAGCTGTCTTTTGCCTTTCTTTGCATCCTCAATACTTAGCCTAGTGCCTGGCACCTAATAGTTGCTTAATAAATGTTTATTAATTGACTAACTATATTAATGAACATGTTTCCTCCAGCCCCTCCAATATTTGTCATTTTTCTTCTTCGTCAACTTTGATAATCTAGATGGGTGTGAGGTAGGATCTCCAGAATATTATTTTGGCAACTACGTTGAGAACAATATTTGAAGATATAATGCCTGTGCAAGTCCCTCAATAAGTAGAATATATAATGTGCATTTTATCTTAACATCTGAAAGCAGCTACACGTTCATAGCAAATACACACCAATCCAATGAGACTAAATAACACAACTACAACTAATAATTGCTCAAATACTACTGGTTCAGAAATGTGTTTTAAGCAATAGTCTCATCTTCAGCGATGAGAAAGAAAAAGCCTCTGGGAAACATCTGTAACTCAAAAAATAATTCTAGAAATTGGGAATAAACTAGTTGATCTATCAAGGCGCTCAAGTGTTGATCCAACTTATAAAGGGAAAAAAACAAACAAGGTATACCATGAATGAGTGCCTATTAAAACAACACCTTTTTTATTAAAGAAATTATATAACAGTTTTGTCACTTGCTTTCATAGGAATTATGAGGCTTATTTTCCTTAGTGTTCAATCACATGCTAAAGGCTTGATTCATTTTCAATGTTTCCATTCATTTTATAGTGTTAGTATTTAAAAGACAGACCATTATAATAATGATTAGTTTTAATTAAGTTTCATGCCCCAATGTATACTCTTCTAGAAATTCCTTTGTTTATGCTTTATATTTATTGGTTTATATAAATATTTCAGCCAAGTCAAATGTAAGGTCCTTAAGGATAGCAACTACTTCTCATCTGGTCTTTATAGGTCTGCTATGTAACACAATACTCTGCAAATAGTAGTTGCTTAGGAAATGCTCATTGGGCAGCATTGAGTGGAATTTAATATTTAGCAATCCTATTAGCTATATTATCCATCCTACCTGCTGCCTTATATTTTTCAAAAATCATGATCCTATTTCAAATCCATGGGATGAGAAATCTCTGGGTCTTCTTGGTTCTTTTGTAAAACTCTATTTAATCATTTCACAGTATTTTTTTTTTTGTATGTCTGGATGCTGTCATGAAGTATATAGTCTGGTTTTCTTCCCCATCATCCCAATAAAAACCCTTTGACTTATTTGACTTTTTCATTCTCTGGCAATGTAGTATGTTCTAAATATAATCCTTTGTTGAATTAGCTTAAGAAGAAAATCAAGGGCAGTTTGATTAATGAGTTCCCAAAGCCTCTTTTGACCACCCAGGGCACATCATCTACATACACTGTGGGAACTCCACTGTTTAGAAAGTAAACATTTGGCAGAAAAGAATCAAATAATTAGACAATGTGATCATCCCCTTCTCCTTCCCAATATATATTTAAATACCCTATTCCCTCTTTATGGTGAAATGGCTTATGCTTAAGAAATTTCCTGAATCATCATTCATTAGGGTTGAGATTTCTCTCCTCAGTTAATGAAATTCAAAAATATGCCTCACAGTAAAGATCCAATCACCAGTTAACAACATTTACTGAACACCTATTGGGTACAAAATACATAGCAAGTATGAAGAGGCAGATGAGGAGGAAAAAGAATAGAAAAAAGAAAGAAGAGAAGGAAAAAAAATAGATCAACCCAGTCCCATTATGCATTTCTGTATCAGTGGCAACAGAATCCTATCATTCCAGACTTAGTGGTGACTTCAATGACTATTTAATCCAACTAATACCTGAAAATAAGAATCCTATCTATAGCAGTTCAGATAAATTGTCATTGAAGTTTTCTCTGAAGGCATACAATGAAGTAGAATATGTCACCATCTGAGGCAGCTTAATCTACTTTTGAATAGCTAAAATTTTTAGAAAATTTTTCCTTATATAAGGCCCAACTGTTTTTTTTTTCTGAAACTTCCCTATACCCTATATTCCTAATTATGTCATGGGAGACAAAGCAGAGCAAGTCTGATCACCCTTCCATAGGATAGCAAGCACTTGAACCTCTCCAGGCTAAACCTCCCCACTTCCTTTAACTTGTCCTTCTCTAATATGATCTCAAGACCCTTTACCATTATGGCTATACTCCTCTAGATATGCTCCAAATCAATGCTTTTGGTAAAATGTGGCCACCAAAATTGGATATAATATCCCAGAGGTCA